CAGCTGCTTCATTGTTAGACTGTGACAACTGAACGTGCACGGTGGTATTAATCTAGACCCTCTTGAAGTTGCTTGATCATGAGCTTGCAATACGCATTTCGAAGTTGTCTAATTAGTGAATAGCATTTCTGACACAGAATCCGTCAATATCAAGACTCGATTAGCAGTAAAGGCCGAATCATCACCTATGCGTTGCCAGCAGTCCCCAGTCGCTGGTGACGAATTCGGAGCTGTGTGTGTCTGCACCTTAACTCTAATCACATGAAATATATGGGTAGAATGAACAGGGCTCTTTGAGAGGCTAAAGGTTGACCGTTCAGGCATCACTTTCTCAGAAGCAAATCTGCGATGAAGCGTCCTAAACCCTAAACCCTAAACCTAGGTAAACGGGCCGAGACTGTTCACCTCAACCACTACAAGGCTTAGAAAAATTACTGCATGAAGGCTACTGAAGTTCAGACACGGAAATGTGATATCATCCTTTGATTCTTATGATACGATCAATGCAACGTTAGCACCCTTTGTTACTCTTGTTGGTTCTTTGGTACTGTGATGATGAGAATTCTTGTTCAAAATAACGTCTCTGGAACAATTACAATCTAGTTCCCACATGACCCATTTCAAATCTGCGTTCGTCTTTGAAGACAAAGAGGGACTATCCAAAAAGCCTTGGACACCTTCCAATCGTGTTCATTCAAAGTCTAGATGCATACAAACTTGTTGAAACTATCAAAGGTGCTGAACATTTCTAGAAACTCGAGTAATCGCAGAAACAAAAGGGGTTAAAAACTAAAGAGCAGAATGATCTTTCCGAGCTTGCGCGAACTGTGCATCACCAAAGAGCGGGCAATGAATATTCTCTGCACAAAGGGAACGTCCCACACACCCATAACGGAATATGTCTCTCAAGCGTTCATACATTCCGAGCTCCTCGTAAGTCACGCCCATGTCCTCATCAATCAGAGTACATATATGTAAAACAGAGATTACACTACCATGAAAAAACAGCATCATTGCTTGAGAAAATCACATTTCTTTGCTGGGAACTGACCCCACTGAGAAGAACTTCTTCGTGACGAGCAATTAGAATATTTCCACTCTCATCACTTAAACCAGCGCGTTAAATGCTATGCTCCGGTTCTTGAATTTCCTAGGGTCTTGAATCATTGCTGTAGTTGCAGCCTTATGATTAGTTAGATTATCCACATGTATGTGCTACTCTGTTAAGGGCCCAAATTCTGCTGTCGGTGGTGCGCATCTAGCTCCCGTTCATGTTTCACACTGAAGGTGCACAGCATGCGGTATCGGAGAAATTAGAAAAATCACGCACACTTATACACAATTCGCACGGAAGTTGACCTGCATAAAATTGTTCTGAGTGCCCATATTTGCTTCAATTGTAAGCTGTTGGGCAAAGTCCTCAGCAATCCCAGGTTTCAATTCTTTGTACATTTACCAGGGTGGACATTAACAATAGTGGGTTGCTGGACACCTTCCTTCACCCCTGAATCGAATTTTAATATGAGTCTGAAAAGATTACACTCTAACTAGAAATGGAAGTTTAACCCAAAACAATTTTGTAATATGTCAATAAAAAGAGGGGTATTAATACAAGCTTTGACAATAAGCTGGCACAAACAATCAACAATAGTAGCCATGAATACGGTGTCGGCAATCCTCTGAAAGTAGTAACTGAAATCTTGTTGCTTCCTTGCAGCGCAGATTATCCCCAAGCCAGAAAGTTGGACCATGAAGTAATTTCTTGTAAGGATTAAGGTGGCACACCTACAACAAACAGGATTTTAGTAAACTAGGTGAACAATCATATTTACGATAGGTAAAAGAGGTCATGCGCTTTAGGAAACCTCTGCCATTGGGCATGAAGAAGCTGTAAAATGATGTTGTACACATAGTATACTTGAGGTCTTTCTGCAGGTTATGAAATGAGAAGCTTTCTTTGTCCCTTTATTATATAGATAGGCGAAAGAGGTCATGCTCATTAAAATAAAGGAGGCAATGGAGTATTTCTTATCAAGTTATCTCCAATACTCTAAACAGGCTGCTGTGAAGTTAAGTACAGGGAAATGTTTTGTAACTGTAGACCACAATGAACTGAAGCTTACCTCAACGAGAATCAAAGAATACTGATAGGAGAAATTCATCTCTCGTGAGGGTTAAAATCTCATTGAAATAGACGACGGCGGTGGAGCTTCACTAACTTTTCCTCTCTAACTCCATTTCTGTACTTTTAAAACTTGTAACCTGCCAATTGCAAATGTTTCTGCTTGAAAAACGTATTCATACTATTTTCGAAGGAGTAGACGTCAAGGAATACAACTGTGAAATCCGTCACAAGGCGAATTTGTGTTTGACACGGCAAAGCCGACCTCACTTGACGGAGAAAGTACTCATCCCAAATTCCGCTCCCTCAAGAACCCCGCGGAACCGAGTGTTCGTTGATGAACCCTCAACGTTGTGGACAGGACTGAGATGATAAACGTTCACACATGACACCACAACCTCACCATCTTACATGGGGAATTGCTAGCTTTGCGCAACATCGTCTCCATTCACCATTACACAGGCACATCCACCTGCGTCACATGAGATTATTTTTGAGATTTATTAGAAACGTCTGATTAGCAGTTGAAAGAAATCGACAAAACATGACGATTAAATTAGGTTGGTATAGAGTAGGGGCGATGTGAATAAATACCGACTAAAAATCATATGTGATGGAAGAGACGAACTCTTAAAGCTTTCAAGTAAGATTTGTGTGGAACCATAACCACTAGGCATGAATGTGATCAATGTAAGAGACACCGTAGTAACGACGGTCCCCAGCACAGCCTTGCTAATTGGCATAGAAATGGAAGCCATCGTATTTCCTAGTCATTTTAGCATCAGCATCAGCCTCGTATTAAGCTTGCGATGCTGGTGATAGCTGCCACATTCATTAGCAACAATTTTATCCATCTCACAGGTTTCTGTGGTTACTGTCCCATGTCAAACAAACAAAAGTCCGCATTAATGTAACGCACGGTAAGCATCCTGCATTTCTAAATTGCAATCACCAGTCGAAACCTGCAATCGCAGGCACAGCTCGCCTTAACCTTCGATAAATTAGGATATGTTTCTGGATAAACTTGTGTTAAGCTCAAAAATCATCGGGTGGAATACTCACGTATCTTCAAAGAAAACGTATTCATCCCTGAAAGGAACACCGACTTGTCCTGAGACTCCCCGAAGGATCTGGTACGTCTCGAACTGACGAAGGTGTTTAAAAAAAGAAAACCAACGAAGGTCACGGAAGCTTCGATCGTTGGCTGAGTAAAGTTTGGGTCGCATGAGCAGAATTTTGCTGTCAAGGCAAAGTTGTAGATCACTCCACATTTTTTGACCAGTGAACTGATATCGTAGACTACCCCATTGGTGAGGTCTAAAGCTTTACAAAAAATCCGTATATTCCCATTTGACTGTAACTTCCATCCGATCTGCTGTCGACGTGATGGGCAAATGTAACTTGTTCGCTTGGAAGATTAACCTGTTCTTGGAATGAAAAGTCGAGTGTGGAGCAATTCTCACCCCTTCGAAGAGATGCATGATAACATGTAACCCTTTAATTCATGCCCATCACGTCGACTGCATCTCGGATTCTAAAACAGTACACATTGACCACTTTTCCCTGTTCACTCAACTACACGGAGCACCCACTGACAGCTCGCTAAGGAGCGAATTGCGAGGGGAGGAAAATAAACCACTCATTCATTCAGAGATACATGAGCAGAGCCTATAGTACTTCCGCTCATTCAGGAAGAAGTTGCACAATTCTCTTAAATTCAAATTGCAGCGATAGAATAAGTAACTTGGCGGAAGAGAAGTCTTGGTTAAAAACCTAAAAGCACTCTGGTAGAGGTGCCTTCCATGGCAGTTATCAATTTCGAGGTTCTTAACGACAATCAAACAGCTCAAACATTTCAGGCAGACCGTGCAAGATATTTGGACTCCATCGCTCTCAACCAAATGAAACGAAACCCTAAAATGAGAGAAACATTAATTTCACATCAACCTCTGACCGCGAGTCTTCATTTTTCATTACAAGTAATAGAACACAATCATCGGCAACGGCTCGGAATTACAGGAGAATCATATTAATATAGCAGCGTGTCGCCCTCCACGAAGTGTTGCTTGCATCGGTGACCAGAGAACTCGAACTTGGACCCGACACCAAATGCTACGCCAACAGAATTGCCTGCCAAATGAACTGATTGGTCTGGGAGAAACTGGTCCTCGAAATTCAGCGCCCAGTAATTCAGACTACATGATACGAACTTAACCTTCATCTTGCCATCTTCAATCTCTCCCCGCACTAGGAGCACAAAACTGTCCTCTTAGAACCCAAAATTGCAAGACTGCAGTTTAGCAAACACTGTTTACGAAGGATGCTTTCACAAATCAGATCCCCAACTCGACAGAATGTCACCATCAAAGAATTCCTCGACTGAAAACGTTTTGGCATGGAAGTCCACGTCTGCACCTCAGAAAGCGTTGAGTTCGAGTTTGGCAGCTTACGCAAGCCACGGTTGTCTTTTCTTCTAAATATCGACGAATTCCTTAATCTATGCAAGAATCAACTTTCAGTCAATATCATTTCAGCAATCATTATCACGTCCATTCACTTAGAATCGCCGTCCTTTGGCCCTAAGCTCTGAACGGTGCGTAGGAAACGAAAATCCTGCTGTACATTCCTCATCTCTGGAGCTGTAGCGTGGTGGATATACCAGCTATATTAATCATACACTCTGCACACACTGGCTACCTCAACGCAGATTTCAGTGATTTTGTCCAAGAATACACATGGTTTTAGAGTGTCTTCACATAATTTCGTTTCTGCCGCGTGCGCGAATTTTAACACTGAGTACATCCTTTGTCTTTTGCTGGAATGTAAGATTCAGGAAATGACAGGCTTAGGGTTTAACCCGAATCTTTCGACCCAAGGATTGAAAGACATAGCATCGAGCGCTAGGAACAACCACATTTTTAGGAAGTGGAGCTGGATACATTTTCAAAAATTACCAATCCAATGAGATCATTAACCCTAAACGGCAAGTAAATTGTTAGGCAAGGTTTAAGAACTGAGCCACTGTACCTTATTCTTGTACGTGCGATGTCACTGATATATCTTGCAAGTGACTGATAGTGATCATGTTTACAATTCCGCTTCTGACTATGACGACTGACACAAATCTCACAACTCTTTGCATAACTGCAGAAAAATACTAGCTAATTGATAATCATGGAGTCTCCGAGACCCCTGCATCTACTGAAACTTCAGAGTGGTTTGGCAATGACCACTATTTAACGGTCTCAGCATTTGGCCTACTCAATCTCCCTGATAAGAAGGATTCCACGAAAATAGGTGAAGTGAAGATTACACCGTCAACGACTTGCTCGCAAGTGTGCATTGCTTCATCAACCACCGCAATGGTCAAAGCCCTTAGGCTTTGATACCACCCACAGCACGAGTTGTAGACTCCTGTTCGAGTCCTTCTCACCTCAAGTTCCAGAGAATCGATTTTACATTCCACCTTGTTACAAAGCTGCACTAGCTTTCGCAGTAGCCAGTTTTCCAAAAGCCTGTCCAAAGCAAAGCCATCAGATTCACTTTCTGAAAAAAGTGCCTCATCTTCACATATAAACTTGGCAAAATCCTTACAGGCAGTTCCACAATTCACTTTCTTCACAAAAATCCACATTTCAACCAAAGCACATTCCTACGCGAAATGTGAGGAGTCGTTTACCATTAATGAGGAGGACCGCCATTCATATTAGGAGCCTGCTGATGCTGTTGATGTTGCAGGTGTTGAGGTTGCTGTTGGTGCTGCCGTAGATGTTGCTGAAGTTGGCACTGTTGCAACATGTAGGCATTATATTTGTCTATACTGACAGCCTGCACAGAGTGCGACAAACGAGTATAAATGCCACAGAACACAAATGGTGTAAAGCTACTGAAACAGACAAACTCACCATATCACACTGAACAACGTTGCTTCTGGGTCTAACCTGAGTCATTTGCATTGGCTGATGCTGACGAGTCATGTACGCGTTATAAGGATCCATAACACCTGACGTTTGATACCGAGGGTCATGAACATCAGCCATAGACGATGCGCTTGCAATAGCGCCATTCAAGGATGGTCCCACATGCGATTGCAAGGGCATCATTGCTCTTCCTTGGGCAGCCACTCCCATGTCCATCATCATCCCATGACCAAGATTCATTGGCACCATCCCCATTCCCATTCCCATAGATGGCATTGCTGCAATCTGCGGCATCTGCATATGTTGTTGTAAGCTAGCAGGCATTACCATTGGTGGCAAAGTCATACCCGTCCTGATCGACATCATCTGCGAGGACAAGAGAATGCCATTAGTCATTCAACTTGCTATAAGTGCATCGTATAAACACAAACCGGGTCCTAACATATAGTCCCTGAAAAAACAAGAAAGAATGGGGAAGGATTATCGAAAGATAGCCAATAAGCGAAAGCAAACTACACAGCACATACCTGGAGCTGAAGCTGAAGCATTTTTAGGTATTCAATTGCTTCGTCCAGCATAGATGCCTTGTCAGTCTGCCACGCAAGTTTCACACAGTCAGCCATGACTACGAACCCAATGAGTTTGGAAGTCACAGAAACTAGGTTTGAAGGTAGACCTGAAACAATTTCAGAACTCCGAGTAAATGCAGAGAACTGAAGACTGTACGCACCTTATTGGAGTTTGGTATCAGCTCTTGCAGAGCTCTCATCTTCTCATTTATTCGGTCTCTTCGCCGCTGCAAGGACAAACCACCAAAAATATGAGTAACAACCCACAGAAACTTCACTCGAGCAAATATGCATAAGCTCCTTCCCCGCTGAAAAATTCAGATACATGCCCGGAATATGAAAAACGTTAGCTCACTCTTTCTGACTGATTGTGGACTTCGGCAGCCCTGCTTCTTTTAGCTGTACTTCCACGACCAGTTACAGGTTTCTTGGTGTCCACTGACTCATCTTCCCCATCCTACAGTTCAGAAGATATAAAAGGTAACAATCAGTATGTGATGAGAAAAGGACTAATTCTATTGATGCTGTAACCAGTAATTTGGAGGTCATTGCATTAGCAAACGTGGCAACCATAAGCCAAGACATAATTATCCTCAACCGAAAGAACTCATGTTAATCCCGCTACTCCAGTTTCCACATCTCTCCACCCTAAAAACTTACTTCACTCTGGCATTCCGTTTCTTCCCTCTCATTTGACTTCCTTTTGTTACTTGTCGCGGCCTCTTTTAGTCTGTCTGTACTCGTCCCATATCCACCTGAAGAGGATGTGATGGTTGGCTCTTGTATATCAGGGTGATGTGTAATACGTGACATTCCTTTTTCGGAAGAGGCCGGCACAGCGTCACTTATTACAACTGATGGCCGGCAAGTTTCCTGATCAGCCGGAGAATTTTTACAATCTCCTGACACAACACAATCTCGATCCTTCTTCGGTGACAGACCAGGTGCAACTTGCCATCTAGAATCCTCAGTGCCATTACTCTGCTCCCTCTCCATAATTAAAGGTTGCACCTTCGCATCCTTATGCAAACCCGATTGCCCATTCCCCGCTGAGGTGGACTCAGCAATAGAAGAACCAGTTGATGTGCACGCCTCCACAGTTGGCTTTACCAAGTGACTATGCTGCTGCTTGAACCGTGCATTAGGTGGAGGCGCAGCGTTTATCCCTGCCAAACTGTGCAAATTTGCCTTAATTATGGCTGCAGGCCTCGAGAAGTGAGAAAAATTCATAGATCCTGGCCGGTTGTTGGGTGGGGAAGGTTGCGTATTAACAGTAGGAGCTGCAGGCTGAGTTTTGGGTGGTAACATAGGATTTGAAGGAGTTGCCGAAGTAGGTACCGATGTGGGTGCCCTAGTAGTTGTCACATTAGCCGTCGCGCACACAGTGGAACCATTTGATGAGCTGGGATGTGGTTGTTGACACCTGGTAACGGAAGAAGGTTGCAGGGAGTGGATTGTACGCACTTTACTGAACGCTTCTACTCCAGCCTGAGGTAGAAGTCCTGCCGCGCGTCCGGCACCTAACATCATGGCAGTATCCGCGGTGGAAGCTCTGTTAACAAAACCATCGTTCCCTGGTGCTCCAGAATAAGGAGTGCGTAATGTCTTCGCAGCTCCTTGCCCAAAAGACTCTCTCAACAACTGGATGTGGGAATCTGGCAGCTCTCCAAAAAAATCAGAGCAATAATCCCTTTCCAAGGTATCATCCAGTGGATACTGCAACCAAGATACCATTTCATCATGCTCTGCATCGATTTGATGCGTTGGATGCGCTTCAGTGGCCGTTTCATTAACCACGTCCTCCAGAGCGGCGTCACTCTTCGGGGAAACTGGTTTTCCCGGGGTCACCCCATCCTCAGTTCCCTGCTCACTATTCCACGCCGATGTATAATTGACCTGCCAATGTGGCTTGCCACATTTACTAGTTTGTCCCTGCATGACTATATGTCCATTATCGATCCTACCCGCTTCCAACGTATCTTGATCGGGTCTATCACATATGAAGAAAGCATCCAGACAGTGAGAAACAAGCCGATATTTGAACTTTGATGTCAGAACTGACCACACATGAACAAGCCATAACGTAAAGTGAAAGCAGAATAAAGCTTACACTTGAAAAAAGCGAGTCGACTTCGATCTCAAAAAATCCAATTTCCCATTCGCTGGTCCATGAAAGCCACTTGAAGGAATCAAATCATCGAGCATGCCGCTGCTCCTATCCCACTCTGGCACAAGACGATTCATAGTCTGATGACAACTGCATCACACCGCCACGACAGGACTCTCAGGAAAGATGTTATCCTACGTTCGCTAGACGGATCTTCATGTTCAATTTATGTTCAATTTTCGGTATGGCTACACTCGCTCGCATGAGATGGATGTCACAGCTGAGATCTTCTGCGACATGACCATCATCCCTTAGTTGTTTCAGATAATAACCCAAGGTCTTTTGTTTTAGTGTTTCATGTTCTGCATAGAGTATTATGCTAATCAAAGGCCTTCGGCAACAACTTAAAAAACCTATATCGAAAAGAGATCAAAAGAGACGCTGAGGACTGGGCTTCCATGAACGTCAGCCTCTCGCTCTCAGGCAACTGGTTGGGGTCAAGCTGTAGTATCGAGGCTTCAAAACTCACATTCATCTTCGAAGAATCCACTCCAAAGCACCAACGCTACGTCACCGCGAAACGAGATCCGTTTTCTTATATTTGAGCTGCTGGAATTACAGTCACAACCTAATATGCAATATTTCCTGCAACGCAGTGTTTGACTTCTTCCCAACCTCAGACAAGCCTCTTTGGCAAAGAATTCGACGACCACTTCACCCTTAGATGAGCTGCGGAGATTACCCACTATCCTCTTCCTCACTGCTATTTATTTTCCTTTGTTGACCACTCCCAAAAGGAAATTTTGAAAAGGAAAAAAATACATACGAAAATCACGCCACCTGCGCAGTGAGCCAACACAGCAATCACACCCCCTCTCCCACTTCTTCCTCAAACACCGCCAGAGACTTCATGTCGCAGCTGCACCAGCTCCACGACCCCTCGGCCCCCAATCCGGCAACACAAGCAACGCATTCACCCTGAACTCATCGCCAGTCCACTTTCCCACCCTCTGTATTGTTGCGGCCCTGTCAAATCTCCCAAGATCCTCCCCTAATCTCCCAACAGCTGAACCTCCACCCGCTTCTCCAAACACATTCCAATCTCCACCGTCGCGATTCACTTACTCGTGAATGACACCATCCCGCACACCACACATCTCAACTCTTCCCCAACTGCAACTTAACCCCTCCCCTGCCTCTCTCCTCAAAACACTCCACCGCAACCCAACCACTAACAAACACACACACAAACCCGAAGCCCCTCAGCTCGGCAAAGCTGTACCAGTCAAGAAGTTCAATCTCAACCGGCCGAAACAACTCCGACTATAAAAAATTTGAAAAGGAATTAAATTGAAATAATATATCACACATTACAAATTTAACAAAGAGCCGCCCACACCCACACCCACCCACTTCCTGCACACATCCGCGAACAAACACACACACACACACACACACACACGCAGAAAAGAGCCTACAAAGAAGCTGAGATTTGAAGCAAAATCACAACACTATGAGGAACCACAGAACAGTCGCTACGACATACTCTCCCCCTGTTCACCACTGTTCCTGCTCGTCGTCCCGGCTGGGCTCCTGTGCGGGTATGGTGCTGGAGATGTGAGTGGTGAGAGAGAGGTTGGGGTTGGGGTTGGCTCCTTGCTGTGCTGGGAAAATGCGACTGTCTACGTTTTGTGATGAGGCAATGAGTCGTCTCTCTCGCAAGTCATCGCGTGTCCCTTGCTTTCAGGCTTTGTACTAGAGCTCTAGGTACCGTCTAGAACTACAAGGGAATACTACTCTACTCTAGGCAGAGAGAGGAGAGGGACGGGCCAGCTAGGTGGGTAGGGGTGAAATCCTTCCAGCAGTGCAACCCCAGGCCCCACTGGGCGCAATCCTACCCAATCATTCTCCCCTTTACTATAATACTATTCACCGAGGGGTGGATGTGGCAGCAGGCACCCTTGAACTTCACGGCTCCCACCACACGAAAACGCCTTTTGGGTCCGCCTAAAAATCTGCCCAGGCCGGGAACTCTCTTCGTCTTGCTCGGGTGTTCACGCTCGCACATCGTTCGCAAACCCCTCACCCATTCTGCAGTTCCTTAATTGCCATTCAATGGGACGCTAGAATGGCGCTGCCGCAGCCCACATTACTTTTATGGTATCCATTCGGTTAGGCACCAGGGAAGGGTATTCTCTCCCTTTTTAGCAAATGGTGGGCGTGTTCAAGGTCATGGTACACTCGAGGGGCTGCCCACAGTTTCGGTTTCTGGGTGTGGATTATAAAATTTCTCCTGCTTATTTTAGCAAGTAGACGAAGATCCACGCACACAAGACGGAGCATTCCGAACCGCGACTGACCCACGGTAAGAAAACTCGTTTCCTCGCTATTGCCGTTTTGCCGACCCCCTCGGCTGGCGGTAGAATGTGAAAAAGCGGAGCCGCACAGCAGCAACAACATTCAGCCATCTGGTCATCGTCATCCGCCACCACCACCACCGACCACCGCAACATCGATGCCATGTTGCCGAAGTGGACCACTTACAAACACACACACACACACACACACTAATACAAAACAACACACAAGAAGTGATGAAAGCCTGAGGCGAAAAAGCAAAGAGTGTGTATCTACAAAACGACACAGTACAAGTGTCCAAGCTGGAGGACCAAGTGCAAATCCTCCTCCTCCTCCTTCTCCACCCCCCCCCTACAAACTAATTGTTTTTATCCTCGACTGAAAAGCACCAGCACTCGTCCTCCAGCACGCTTTTCCCGTCCATGAAAAAACAATCTAAAAAACAGAAAATATTAAAAAATATCATTGACAAAATTGTGCAAAAGCCCCCAATACCCACTTTTCAAACAAGGCTGGCTGCCTTCCTTCCTCTTCCTCCTCTACCGCTAAAATTTAAAGAGCCACAGCTAAATTTAGGGTTCCATGCCCTACATTGCCACCACATTCCTGTACTTATGTTTGTGTGTGTGTGTGTGTGTATATATATATATATAGTGTTATTATTCTGCAGCATGATGAAAATAAAGTTCAAGTTCAATTAGAAGAGAGCGGATTTTCAATATGTGTATTTTGGTTGTTACATTGTAGAAAAATGTAAGTTTTTTGTTTGGAAACTTGTGACTGTATATTATATCTTGATTCTTTTTTTCTTTTCAGGGTGTAAACATATGAAATGAATGTGTCTTTGGAGAATTTTAATGATGGTAATGTCTTTTTTGGAAACTGCATGTATGCATAGGGGTTGTTAGCTTTGATACTGAATGTGAAATTGGTTATAATGTGGCACTGGCAAATTTCATTGTTAAGCTAACGGAGTTTGATACATAAAGTTTCATGTTGTTTGGTCATTGGTGTAAAAAGAACATTTCTATCACATGCCAATATACCTTTTTTATTATTTTTTTAATTTTTAGATATCACCTCAATCCATCAATACCATTGTTTTATAATTTTAGATGCAGAAAAGAAAAAAGAAAATCTACAATGTAAAACTTTGATAGAATCTTTGACTTCTGTTATATTTATCAAATTTCACACAAAAAAAGTATAATCAAAATGATTATAATAATATAATATTATTCATATTATATTTTTTTTAAAAAAAAATACTTCATACTTTTAATATAATATAATCACCAATAAGTAAAAGCACAAAAGTAGTAAATAAAAATGTAACATTTTTAAATTTCAAACTTAAAAATATATTAATTTGAACAAAGTTTTTTTGAGAACCTTGGCAAGATATTTATGATAATACCATCTTATCATAGAATGATTCTAAGAAAAAAAAAATTTAATTAAAATATTAAAGAATATTTTAATCTCTTTTATCTTAAAATTAAAAATATATTGCCTTCATACTTCTTCTTAGAAATGTCACAAATTTACCATGTAGGAAACCAAACAAAAAATTGAATAAAAGAATTTCAATAAGAAAATTAATAAGAACTTAATTAAACTAGATAAGTACAAGATCATCACCAAGAGAAGTGAACTAGAACTCCAAGAGATGTATTGTTGAGATTGAGAATCTCTTTAGCCTCAACTCTAATATATGCTAAGTATAAGGAGGCTTTTCAAGAATTTTTTGTATTTGAAAATGAAGCAATCTACGGAAGTGTCACGGCCATAATCATATAAGCTAATAATTACATATACAAATAGGTAGAAGTAAGTAAAATTAGGTAAAAGTAAATTAATTCTATAATATTTAATATGAAAGCTTCTTAGAAGCTTCGTAGACGCTGCTTTGACTTCATAGGTGTCTTTAATTGACTTTTTGGATTAGAAACGTAGTCAACAAGTTGGCCATGTGCCACACATGTTGTTAGCTTGAGGATCAAGCTAATTATGTGGCCCACACATAGAAAAACTTACCTTGTAAGTCAAGGCATGTGTCCTACAAAGTCAACACATATTGGAGGTCCTATAGAACGTTGCCACGTAGCTCCTAGTTAGATAATATATATAGAGACAAGAGTGAAGGCTTCTTCACTCTTGTCAACTCCTTTCTTGCTTCTAGTCTAGTTTCAAGGGTCTCTAGTTTTCTTGTCTTTTGGCAATAGCCATTCAAGTTTCTCTTTCAATATATATACTTGTTTATTTATATTTTGTTACCTCTCTTTGAGTGAAGGCTCACTTATTTGAATTGTTTTTTCATCGAGTTCTTGTCCTTGACAGATTGACAAGAGTACACCTACAATATCAGAGCTTTGTCTAATCTTGATTAAGAATGGATTACCCCTTTTTCTTAATAAGATGTAAGCATATTAGAAGTTGCGGATTACCCTCTTCTAAACTGATATTGTCCTTAATATTTTCTTTGTTCTCAAGTCCTCTCTTCTATTTGTCTTGAGCGATATTAGACATCTTCTCTCTTCTAAGTATTATCATGGCAGAACTTCTTGAAATGAAGAGTGCAATGGCACAAATACAAGAACAATTGAGGGAGTTAATGCTTGCGATGCATCAACTCAATTTACCACCACAAGGAGCAACCAGATTGGAAGGAAGTGAAGATATAGAAATGGTTGGAGCAGCTTCAACATCTGCACCAAACCATGTCCTTTTTCATATGGTGGAACACCCTTCAAATGTTAGAGAACCAAGAATTGCCCTACCCGAGAAGTTTGATGGCATCAGATCCAAGTTTCGAGGATTTATCAATGAAGTGCAACCTGTGATTGAACTTCAACCCCAAAGCTATCCAACTCCAGGATCACAAGTTAGATTCATTGGTACGCTTCTTTCAGATTCAGCACTATCGTGGTTTTCATCTTTTCTTGAATGACGAGATCCAATATTGGATAATCTAGAGGCTTTTTTGGCGGAGTTTCGATCCATGTATGGAGAACATGATGCAATTCGTGTTGCAACCAATAAGATCCGTATTTTACGACAAGGCAATCGATCAGTAATGTTATATGCTTCACAATTTTGACAACTTGTAACTGATATCAAGTGGGATGATGCTGCACTTATTAGCCAATTTTTCTACGGATTACAATATGAGGTAAAAAAATTAATGCTCAACTTACTTGATCATCAAACATTGAATCAAGCAATTGACTTTGCTGTGAAGTGCGACAATCGCCTTTTTGAATTCCGATCTGAGAACCGTACAAGTGGACCTCAACGTTACTATAATTCAATGGCAACACCAACATCTCTTCAACACATACATTCGGAAGTAGAGGATATGCAAATTGATGCAGTACGTTTCAAACCTCTTATTGAGCAAGAAAAGACTCGTCGTCGTCAAGAAGGATTATGTTTATATTGTGGAGAACCAAAGCACACTGCTCAACATTGTCCAAAGAAACGACACAATCACAAAATGAGGAGTATGGCTGTGAAAGAAGATAATATGTTGGAAAACAAGTTTGTCTAGCTACAATAAGGACCGTGCGGCTGGAACCTTACACAACTTCTAATAAAGGTCCTATTCTCTCCTCAAAGCCCTCTCCTTGTTTTACATTAAATGTTATTTTAGGACCTAAACATTACAAAGTCTCTGCCTTGTTAGATTCAGGAGCCTCAGCGTGTTTTTTAGATGAAGAATTTACTAAAAGACATAGCATATCTTTAGTAAAGAAAACTAAACCTGTTCATGTAGAAGTCATAGATAGTCGTCCATTGTCTTCTCGAGATATTACTCATAAAATCCTTCCTATAGAAGTAATAATCAATGGTCATAATAGTTTTGTAGTATTTAATATCATTAGATCTCCCTCTAACCCAGTCATTTTAGGTTTATCATGGTTAGAGAAATACAACCCTCAAATAGACTAGATTTTCCGAACTCTCACTTTCTCTGAAAGTATAACTAATAGTGTAGTTAAGCAAGTAGAGAGTCATAAGTTCAGTTCAATTAAACCCATATTTATAGGTACAAAAGCTTTCTTGCATGCTGCTATGAAAGAATCACCATACATTATTTATGCTACACCCGTTTCTACTGGTAAAAAGACTTCAAGTGGCATTCTAAGCCAATATTAAGAATTTCAAGATGTATTTGAAAAAAAGAATGCGGATACACTCTCGGAACATCGTCCCTATGATTGCTCAATTGACCTTCATGAAAGAGCACAACTGCCATTCGGACCAATCTATAGTTTATCACAAAATGAATTGGCTGAACTCAAGGAGTATATTGAAGAAAATCTAGTCAAGAATTTCGTACGCCATTCTAAATCTTCGACAGGAGCTCCAATTCTATTTGTGAAG